AGGAAGTCTATCGCTGCTCGAACTTCATGAGATTGACCATCGAGGTCAGATGGAAGGCAAAACAAGGAAGTCGATTTTGATTGGCTGAGCCAGCGTGAGAACTATAGACACAGAGAAAGATTTTCGGTGGGGTGTTTCTTAACCGTCAAACAATGCAGACATGTTTTCTTTCGTGTCTGAAACGACTCCCCAGTGAGTGAGAGAGACCTCACTGGATAGATAGAAGATGTAAAAGTCGATGTGATTAATAAAATAGTTAAGTTTAAAATTCCCTGTGTTGAAGTTCTTTTATCTCTGGACACCAAACAACTAGTGATCACCTGTCGAGAGAGAAGAATGCAAGTTTATTATCGAATCGATGCCGTCGCCCGAGACCTTCCCAGGACGAGCGGGCTTCGCAGCACATGTAACTCCTGGTTTAATAACATTGCGAATAATGACAAAAAAGCATTCATCAAATACAATATAAAAGACTTCCGTCCATCGATTTCGGAGAAAGAATTACTGGAAGCATTATATTATGCCGTAGTTTCGACCGTTGTACGCTCCGGCCTTATTCAGGTGGTTGGAATGTCGAACTGAACCCTTTATTTCGCTCAATACGGTAGACTGTTCTAGTTCCAAGTGCCATGTTTGATGGATATCATTTATCAGTTATCTCCTGTTAATTCACCTCTCCAAGTTCTCCACTGCCTTAACTGGGTATTAAACTCACACTTGGGTCTTGTCACTGGATCTAACCTTTATCTACGCCTTTATCCACTGTGCCAAGTGTCCTTGAGGACACCACCAACCACCTGAAGAAAGCCGGAGCGTACAACGGCCGAAACGTTGTAATAAATATGGCGCCAAAGATGAGGACAATTGTCCGAATAATGTGAATAGCGTACATAATACCCCATCTCAGAAATATAGACATATACTGAAAGGCCGAAACTTTGTAATAAATATGGCGACAAAGATGAGGACAACATCCGAATAATGTAAATAGTGTACGTAATAACTCATCTCAGAAATATAGACAGATACTGAACGGCCGAAACGTTGTAATAAATATGGCGACAAAGATGAGGACAATAGTCTGAATAATATAAATAGTGTACATAATACCTCATCTCAGAAATATACATATACTGAACGGCCGAAACGTTGTAATAAATATGGCGACAAAGACGAGGACAATAGTTCGAATAATGTAAATAATGTACATAATACCTCATCTCAGAAATACAGACCGATTATTCCAAGGGTCTTGTAGATATTCCTTCGAAGCAGATTGAAATAATATTACATTGCCCAAAATCTGTTTTGATTCACGAGAAGCATGGATCAAAAATCGAAGGTGCCTTTGATGTAACACATGGCTCATTTGATGGAGCCAGGGTTTCAGAGCTGATGAGTGTCTTCATACTGAGCAAAATTAACAAAATTTTTCATATAAACTTTTAAATGTGAATTAAGATAAGCGTCTAATGATTTTTTCTTTTTCTTTCAGATTTAACAACTTAAGTCTTTGGCACTTTCTACCATGGAAAGATTAATAATCTAACAACGTGTTAATTATCGAAGCCTATTACGAAAATGGACGTTCAAACAGAAATTGAATGTGAATTTCCCAGGTCGCATCATTTCTTGAAACAGCGAAGTCAATTTGCCACCATGATCGTTCGTCTTGATGCCTTTAGATTTCTTCCTTTAGATGCAGTGAAGGTACCTTAAAAAAACCATGCTATAACCACCTTCATTTAGAATACAAAACCATAGGTACTGCACTAAACTCGCCAACAATGTATGGTAGTTGAAGGAAAAATAATAAATATATATACTATATACACATACACACATATGATAGAGATAGAGAGAATGTCATGCAGCCTTTTCTCCTCCAACATCTGGAGTGTTCTATCCCCAGCGTTTTGACCCTTGTACTTTCTGGCTTTCTCCACTTATCTTTGGTAATTGTCTTGGAATTTTCAAACAATTTCTTTTATTCAATTGACCACATTTTCCTTCTTCTTTCTATATTTAGGGAACTATACACTTGAACCATATTCTTGAACCAATGAATTATCTCAAGTCTATTCATGTCATCCAAAATAATCGTAAATTACACTTTAAAAATGTAAAAACAAAGTAAATGGTTATTGCTGTGAGGGATGAATATTCTCCTACAAGAATGAAGGACATAAAAATACTCCTACATCAAGAGGAGTAGCAGTAGGAGCAAGAGCGGCAGTAGCTTTTGTTGGAAACAGTCATTCATGGCTAAGCATTCTTTTCGCTAGTTTCTATTCTACAATATGTTTCCCTGTACCAAAAGGTAATAAATTTATTGTTGAACCAATTCCTGTTTTCTACTTGGAAAATCTATTTTATTTTTCTGAAAAATTTTAAGAGGAAGTTCTTATACATTTCAACCAAAACTACTGCTGGCTGCTTGGTCAATGAATGCCAAATGTTTCCTTGTAGACAAATGGCTAATATTACCATTATCATGAGATGAGAACAGATACTACACTTTGATCCAAACCTGATGACAAGAGAGTGAAGAAAAACGTAATGAGTAGCACTGGCTGCTTGGTCAATGAATGCCAAATGTTTCCTTGTAGAGAAATGGCTAATATTAACATTATCATTAGGAAATGGTTAAATAGCTGGTCCATAAATAGGTACTGCATTTATATAAAATACTGCAGTCATTGGGGAATTTCCTAACCTTATCCTTTTTGTACAATGTGTTATACTGACTGACAATATTCAGTCACCCCCCCACGAGGGTGTCATGTGGCACAAGGCCTTTTTAACGTGGGCATTCCTGGAGCCATTAGGCTCGGCAAAAAATAGCCCATTTGAACCCGTATAAACGGGTTCTGGGCCGGTTTTACCTCCCCGAAGGAGACTCCGCCCTTCAGCGTAGCCTCCTTCGGGTTCCTCACGCCCGTAGGAAGAGAGTTGAACCGAACAGTCAGTTAAGAGTTATACTGACTGACTGTTGTTTTCATCTTTATTGTTGCTATCACAATGTTATCGCCATTATCCGAACTTCAACAGGTGCTGGTCGATCTGGGTAAAGTTAACAGGATCAGTAAATAAAATAAGTAAGGCTTTTTTGTCCTCGGCCTATATGTACAGCATGCAACATTAAACTGACCTTGTGTCACAATCTGCACCATCAAATAAATGTTTAGGAAGGAAACACCCATCAATAATGGAAAGAGTTATAACAGCTATTGGACTTGGGTTGTGAAGGAGAATATTTTCCTAAAAGTTTGTACTCGGCGGTCGAACAAAAACCATAAAAATATTCCTACATCAAGAGGAGTAGCAGGAGGAGCAGTAGCATCAGTATCTTTTGCTGAAAACAGATAGTCATTCCCGGTTAAACATTCTCTCCCCTAGTTTCTCTTCTACATTATCTTTCCCTGTACGAAAAGATAATAAATTTGTTGTTAAACTGAATCCAGTTTTCTACTCCGGTTGTTTTTGATAACAGTTTCCTAAAAACTTTTTTTAAAACTTTGACCATTGTTAAGTCTAGTAGTAAAAAGCTAGTAGTAAAAAGCTCCGGCTGAAATCTAAAAGACCCTTAAAGACTTAAAATTTTATAAATGCAGGAATGTACGGGTTCTTGATAGCTATACAAAGTTTTGGTTCTTATAGTTTCGAAATAAGGCGCACACTTTAAACAATCCTTTCATAGTTTTTCGCAAGTTCCTTTTCTTTAATATCTGCAAACTGTAAATCGCCACGAGCGTTCTTAAGAAAGTTAGTGGAATGATTTTTTTAGTTTCTCTTTCTTCTAGAATGGTAACCTTAGCCAGGCTAGAGAGCACAGTCTAGCCTATGATTTTACCCATATCTCAAGAACATCAGCGCGAAATGAACACAATACTCTTCATAGTGTCTTTTCCCTTTATTATCTGTGAATTCTCATGAAGTCTTAGGACAGAGATTAAAGTCATTTTCTCGTTGCTTCCGTTTTAAAATTAATGTTCTTCTCAATGCTGTTTAATCCATAACTGGAGAGGATAACAGATGGATTCAAGCCTTTCACAAAGGTATTAATTTGTTTGTTTTATTTGTTTTGTTATATATCAATATCTTGGATCATTTAATGCCTAAATTTAATGTTTTTTCACAAATAAAGTCTTATCTAAATAGACTGCTTTTAGTTAGGGTTATATTTTTTAATTTTATTTCTCAGATCATTTTAATTTCTCTTAGAAACTGGAATATGTAAAATGGATCAGTAGTTTGTTGCTTGATAGTATTTAAAGAGGATTGATTTAAAATTGCTGAAGTTTGGCAGTATGCGTTTTATGGGGAATTGCTCTGGGCATGTCAGGCATACCTGAAGTCCTTTCTTTTTTAGGATATATCAATGGGCACAAAGGAGAATGCAAATGACTAGATCAGAATTTGAAGTCGACTCGCCAGTTCCACATATCGCGTCAATAACGCTTACGTTACATGCACTCCAGGGACGCCCAGTCTAACTTAAAACTGGCTTTTACAAGACCATCAACCACCAAGCTACACATAGATCGATAGATAGAAAGTACCGACTAACTTTGGTTAGATAGATAGATAGATAGATAGATAGATGTCGTGTAAGATAGATAGATAGATGCCGTGTAAGATAGATAGATAGATAGATAGATAGATAGATAGATAGATAGATGTTGTGTTAGATAGATACCTACCTACCTACATACATACATACATACATAGATTCTGATTTCTCTTACGTTTACTTCACATAAATAAAAAACTGTTTCATCGAAACAGGTCGTTGAAGTTATCTACCTGGGATATATTTATGTGTGACGTCATTTTTTGGAAGGAATTTCTTCAGCCACACTAATTTTTCTTTATTATTTCCGAATTGTCTTGAATCATTATCCAATTCCAAGCCAATATAAAAAGGTTGAGAACCAATAAATCTCTTGCAAGATATATCTTGTCAGCCGTTTCCAAATTGCTACTCATCATGGCACCCGATGGCTGCCTGCTTAGAAATAGCAACGATTGTAAATAAACTTTTAACTTGAACCTTTTTCTTAGGCTGCGTTTGTTTCACTTTTTTTTCTTATTTCATATTGTTTCTTCCTTTTTACCTTTTTTGCTTTTTCATTGTCTTTCTCTTTTAGATTTCTTATTATATTATTTGCCCTTTACTTTGTACGTATTTCTTCTTCTTCCTCTTCTTCTTCTTCTTCTTCCTCTTCTTCTTCTTCTCCTCCGTCTTCTTTTCTTCTTCTTCTTCTTCTTTTGCTTCTTCTTCCTCTTATTCTTCTTCTCCTCCTCCTCTTCTTCTTCTTCTCTTCTTCTTCTTCTTCCTGTTCTTCCTGTTCTTCTTCTTCTTCTCCTCCTCCTTCTCCTCCTCCTCTTCTTCTTCTTTTTCCTCTTCTTCTTACTGTTCTTCTCCTCCTCCTTCTTTTAGTCTTTTCTTCTTCTTCCTTTTCTTCTCTTCCTACTCCTTTTTCTTCTTTTTCTCCTCCTCCTTCTTCTTCTTTTCTTCTTCTTCTTCTTTTTTCTAGGTACACAATATACAGCTATCTCCCTCATTACCTTTGGCCTGTTTTTCTCCACTTCATCCTTATCATCATAACTCTTTTTCATTCTCATCTTTTTATTTCACTGATTTTCTTCATCTTTTCCCATTTCTTTGTCCTGATTTTACATCGACCTCAGTTTTTTCTACAGCCCCCAAATCTTCACATTACTTTTCTAGGCTTTCTTTCTTCATGTCCTCTATCTTTTTTATAATCGTTCTTTGTCCTATGGACTCTTCTTCTTCTTCTTCTTCTTCTTCTTGTGGCCCACCCACACTTGTCTCCCCACCCCCATATGCATGTTGTTATTCAGTCGTCCTACAAAGAAACCCTGTTTACCAAAGTCACTCGCTATAATTTCCCACCCAATCATGATCCGTTTATTTTTTTTTTCCTTCTTAATTCCCGCCAACTTCTCGATCTTTCGATTTATCAATCGGTGTCGGACCTTCCCTTTACTTTCAATTTCTTCCCAAGTTTATTTTTACTTTCATTCACTTCATTCTTCTTTCACTCTTCCATTCATTCATATAACACTGCTTTCTTCTATCGGTCCATCTCTCGTTATATCTATCTATCTATCTATCTATCTATCTATCTGACTGTCTCTAGTTATAGGGATAGATAAATGAAACGACCAGACATAAGCAACTGTATACACGTGCGCTAGTATGTATACGCGGGTCCGCAAATAATCATCAAATTTATACATGAGATGCAAACATAGGGTTCGATGTGGTTATACAGAGCAAAGATATATATTAATTAATACATATACTAGTACCTACGTTTTGCTGTGCGACATTAGCTTCGCTGGATTACCAGCTCGTCGGACACAAAATCTGTGTTGCTAAAAGCCATTTGTTTACTTTTAGCAACATATATATATATATATATATATATATATAGATATATATATATATATATAATTATTTTTTTTAATTTATAACATAAATATGTTATAAAATCACTACAAAAATAGCCATTTTGTTTCAACACCCTTGGTGTCTTATCCTAGTGAGGGTGTTGAAACAAAATGCCTATTTTTGTAGTGATTTTATAACATATTTATGTTATAATTTTTTTTTTTTAAATAATTATATCTGCTCTACTTTTGTATTGAGCACTCTTTTAAGAATAGTAATTGTTGGTTATTGGAATTCATTCCGTATACACCAATTATATACTTGGGTATATATATATATATATATATATATATATATATATATATATATATATATATATATATATGTATATATATATATATATATCAGCCTGCTCCTATATATCTATCTATCTCACTATATATCTATCTGTGCATATAAAATTATCTCTCATTCTGTTTTGATCTATTTAGATGAGTTTTTTTCTTATGTCTCAGTAACAGACGAATTATCTATCAACTTGTGCTATATCTGTTTGTTTATCTATCTATCTGAGCTTCTATCTATATTTTCTATTATCTATCACTCACTCTTTTTATATATATCTCATTCTCTTCATGCCATTCTATCTATCTATCTATCTATCTATCTATCTATCTGTATATATATCTATCTATCTCATTCTGTTCATATGTCTATTTCATTCTGCTAATATCTCTCTATCTCATTTTCTTCATATCTCTCTCTATCTATCTATCTATCTATCTATCTATCTATCTATCAGTTAGAGTTTCTATTTATATTTTCTATTATCTCCATCTATATGGACATATCAGTTTATCACTCACTCTTTTTATATCTCCTTTTTTCATGTCATTCTATCTATTAGGTTGGTGCAAAAATAATGACGTAATAATGTCGTTTTTTGATGTATTTTTTAACGTCAAAAAACGACATTATTACGTCATTATTTTTGCACCAACCTAATATCTATCTATTCAATTCTGTTCATATCTATCTCATTCTGTTCATATATCTCTGTCTATTTCATTCTGTTAATATCCCTCAATCTCATTTTGTTCATCTCTCTCTATCTCTCTCTCTATCTATCTCATTTTATTCCTATCTATCGATCTATCTATCTATGTTTCTCAGTCTTTTAATATCTCCATACCTAATTTCATATCCATTCTATGACTATGATTGTTTTACCTTCCTCCACCTCTTCTTATCTACTTATCAATACCTCATCATGTTCTGTTTCTTTGTATTAAAGAAAGAAATTCTACGAACAGTCAATGCATTTGTTTACTTATAATGTCTAGAATATTTCTACGCTATCAATATTTGTATCTATGTTCATATTTAGCTGTTTACCAAGATATCTAGTGAGATATCTCTGTAATTATATATATATATGTGTGTGTGTGTGTGTGTGTGTGTGTGTGTGTGTGTGTGTGTGTGCGCGTTTGTAATTGTGTGAGATATCTTTTAAATTTATATATATATATATATATATATATATATATATATATATATATATATGTGTATAAATAAAAAAAAAAACAGTAAGATATAAATTCCGGTGTTCTTATAGATATTTTTATTTTTACAAAATAGTGAGAAATGTAAATTTTCAAAGAATTAATATTATAATTAATTGATTTAAAAATATTACACAGTTCCAACCATGTTTCAAATTTTTTTTTTGAAACATTTTTGGAACTGTGTAGCGAAAAAACCATATTTTAAATCAATTAATTTATAATATATATATATATATGTGTGTGTGTGTGTGTGTGTGTGTGTGTGTGTGTGTGTATGTCTGTTAGTCTTTGTGGGGTTAAACCTCAGAAATGGGGATATGTCATCAACGATAATCTCAACTGCCAATGCGGGCAATCCCAAACTAGAGATCATCTTCTAGTTTGCCCTAATCTTGGAGATCGATGCACACTTAATGACTTTGAAACATTAACACCCACCTCCAATATTTTACAATATTTTTTCAGATCGTCTGCCCCGTCAGATAAGTTCACATTTCCTCACACATGTATACACATATATAGACGCGTATGCACATACATTGATTGGGTCCACCAACACAAAAAATAATCCCCGACACACACGAATAATCAAACACAAATAAGCATAAATAGATCCATTTTTCAAAAGATAAACCAATCTCAATATTGATCACTTCATTGGTGTGTTTCTCATCATATATATATATATATATATATATATATATATATATATATATTGAATAAATATATATACATATAGTAAAGTTCTCGTTTTTCACTCCCGCGTCGTCATATGTGACGTCACGAGCTGCGACGCGATTTTCCCTTCCGTGTCTCGTATATACGAGTTTGTCGTTACTTTGAAATTTTTCAAGCAACAAGGGTGGACTATCATTGTGGTTTCGTCTGTGTGTTGTTTGATTTATTGAAATTGTCATCTTTGATAATGTCTTATGTAAACCGAAAGGTCAGATTGGATTTAGACATGTATCAATATGGTGTTTTCCTTTCGTCTTTCAACGATAATGTGATTAAGCTTATCAGACAATATGAAAGGAACTTACTTAAAATATATAGACAAAACTTGTCTGTATTATTTAATGAAACATGCATTAATGAAAAATTGTTGCCTAAATATACACAAATATATATATATATATATATATATATATATATATATATATATATATATATATATATATATATATATATATATATATTTATTATATATATGGTTTCATATAGACAAAAAAATTACTCACTGCAAAGATACAACTTTGCTTGGTGCATTTAGTTGTGCCTCAACTTGTGATAACCAAAAATGGTTATCCATTTTTAAAAATTTTCTTTCTCATCAGTCGAGGTGCAAATAAGTGCACGGAAACAAGGTTACATTTTGTAGTGAGTAAATCATTTTTTGTCTATATAAAAAATTATAATGAATATTTATTGCTCTATTCTCGGTATTGAGCACTCTTTTGAATTAATGTTAGGAACGTTAGAATTTATATATTATTTTTTGTTCTCATTACATCAATATATATATATATATATATATATATATATATATATATATATATATATATATATATATATAGTTTAATTAATCTAATTTAAAACGGATATTACTTTTAGTTTAAATATCACAGAATTGACTAGATTGACAACAGGAAATGTAACAACTTTTTCTGTACGGGAGACATATATGTAAAAAGTATTTGAAGAATATAACGTGAATTCTTTTTTTACATAATTTTTTAACTACCCTATAATATTTTAAAAAATCGGAAAATGTTCTTCTTAATGTTTTATTGAATTTTAGGTACTTTAGCTTTAAATTTACGATAGCTGCCACTGCTGTTTTTGTTTTTTGTTTTTATTTAGATAAACACAAAAAAATCGAAACTCTTTTTTAAATATTGGGTGTTCAATGAATTGTAGTAACCTTCTCCATTTATGATTAATAAATATAGTTTTTATTTAGTAAGAATATCACTTAATCTTTACTAATTAACAGAGAATTTTAAAAAATTTA